GTTCGGGAAGGGCATTTGGGCGTCGGTGGAACAACTTTAGGGTAAGTAATCATTTATTATCTGTTACTTCCAAAACATTTACACGTGATGCAACGCAGATAGAAATGTTGCAATATTTAGTGAAAGATTTGCAATTTTTGATACTTATTGTTATTAGATATAAATATGCAATTTTCTTTTGTTAGATATTTGCATGAAAGAGAAAGAGAAAGCTGAGTGAAAGTTTGAAGCTTATTAATTTTATTTCTCCAATACAATTATTTTAAATGCTGCTATATAATTTGGATGTACTTCTCATGTTACAGATCAAGTTGTGAACAACTCCGCTGCTGCGGACCGGCATCGCATCGATAAGTCGGTCCAATTTGTTTTATCTTAATATCATTAAAAAAATAGATTTAAAAATAATATAAAACACAAGGTGTCTCAGACTAACCATATCGATCATTAATAGTAGATTTCTAAGGTTCCTCATATAGCGAGGATGAAAATCGATATGCGACGTGTCTGAGCGTGTAAATTTTTGACAACTGATTTGACAATTGATCTGATTGATTAACTTTAAACACTTCGCATTTATAAATTACTGTAGCTTCTACATTTTGGTGTAAAGATTTTTATCTTCAAATGATTTCAGGAACATCCATATTACAGCCATGTAGAACGTCCCACAATTAGGGATATTAATAGATTCGTTTTTTTTTTACGCTTTCTTTTGTGAGGCATTTTACATCTTTTTCTCCTTTGTTGATTCACAAACCTGATAAGCTTATTAAACTTTTTTCCCGTAACATTACCCGAACTATTGAACGCTAATGAGTTTTTAACTACAGAAGACAATGAATGATGCGCCGACCTGTTTCGATAGATCGAAACATGAAAGTTATTTAGAACTTCGAGATTAATGAGCGGCGAAGTTAGCGGACGCGGTAACTTCGACATCGAAGTCTCAATTCTCGTGGGAAGTAATGATCGCGCGATTTAATCTTTTCAAAGAGATGTGACACGTCGATCGATTTAATCGGATTAAAGGTGAGAGCTGCGAGAGTTCACCACATTTGCATCTTATTTTATCCCTCTGTTAGGCAGTGATTGAGTTACAAGATCTTACGAACCGGCAAGGTGCGAATTAGAAACTTGAAACTGCAAGTGCAGCGGGAATTGGTTCGCATTGCGCGAGAACTCGCTGAAAGCTTGTCATCCATATCTTTTTACAATGACGTTGTTCTCATTGAAATATTAAGAGCTCGTATTGTTAGAATCACGAATAAAATATTTTCGACATTTTTTTTACTTACACTAACTTTCGAGTTGCAAGATATTTCCGTTTTGTGCACTTAATAGCGTTCGTTGAAAGCAATTATAACAATAATGAAAATGAAGTAGCAATTATTACTTCTTAGAACCTTAATGATACATCTGAGAATTTTAATGAATTAATTTGCCGCGTTTTGTATTTACCAAGTCGAGGAAGGACTTCTCGCGCTCTAATTAAACTTAAACGGAAACAATGCGAGAAACAGCGAGCGCGGGATATTCCTTGAGAAAGTTGTAATCCATACTTTTAATCTAGATTGTTTGGATACGTTTCGCCCCGAGCGCAGAATTTAATATCTCGTCGAGATAATGTTGCTACTATGTTTTCCGGAAATTTCTTTTGTAAGAGCTACCTATGTAAAATGACACTCTGATAGACTCGTTACGCCGTAATTACTCGGAGATCTGAAGAACAACATTACGTGCGTTATAATTATACACGTAAAACTCTGACGTAATTGTGTATCGCATTATTTGAAGTAACAAAGTATATGGAAACATGATATAAAGTACACATTTTGTAAAGCTATAAGTTACATTAATTATGCTCGCACATTTCGTGCGTTCGAATTCAAATACCTATAAATTTTAATGCGGTTTTAATGGAACATATTCGCGCTTTTTCGCATTATACAAATATCCACTTAAAAATGGAAAATTAACAAGGACGATATTTTAAGTAAAGGCGATTTAAAAAGTTTTTTTTAAAACAAGAGGAATATCCGTAGAAATAATTTTGTTTGGGATAAAAATATATCGAAATACTCGTATAAAGAAACAGCAGAATATTAAATTGATCGTTCGTAAGGTAAAAGGGTAAGGGTTTTAATTCCGAAATACCCTAGCCGTATTGATTGACGAGCGGCACTTTGCGAAGATACAAATGCTATTCGGAGAAATTTTCTGAATGCAAAGGCCAATGATACTGCTATGCTTGCGTAACGAGCGCCAGGCTTTGCTAATGCGCTTTCCGCAAATGGAACCTCCGGCATTTCCGTTCCTAATACCACGATAAAGGTCATGTTTGTAGAAACCACACAAATGCAGTCCTTTGCAACCGATATCCTCTCGCAGCACACTTATCCCAGGATTATTCAAACCCGATACTTTAAGATTATGTGATTCCTTGTGATTTAGATTCGTGGTATTTCAAATTAGGAGGAATTTTGGAGGAATTTTTTGTAACACATTTAAACGTAAAAATTTAATACGACGTAATACATGATTAGAAATATTTTTGATTGGTTAATTCACTCGGAAATTAGAGATTTATCTAGAGTGTTTCTAGTTTTTTTCTTTGATCGTTAAAAATATTTCTTGGTTTTCCGATTTTTATGATTATGATTTTATGACTTTTGAGCAAAGAATGATATTTTCAGAAAACATGATTCGGAATCGAGTCACATTTGTGTCGAAGTGTATAGAATTGAATATATTTCTATAATTTTATATAATTATACTTCACTTTGAAACTTTAAGTTTATATTATTACTAGAGATGTCTCTGCAATGTATTTGTAATATAAGAAATAGTAATCAGTTATATTTGAACTGTATCATATTATATATTTACGAAAATACTTCTCTTGAAATCTCATCTCGTTAAAATACGGGGATGTAGCATTGATAATATCTATATGAAAATAGACAAACGCACGAACAGACAGTTTACTGTAGAAAGCGACATTTAATTTAGCGATATATTTTATTACATTCATAATGTATAGATTAAATCTATACATATATAGTATAAGTAAATCGAATATCTATTCACGGTGGAACGAAATAGATTCAGTAATAAGTGATCCGGGCGGCCGCGGACGGTCTTTTTTTTCGCGCAAAAATTTTCAATCAATCCGATGTTTGCCATTCACGGATGAGTAGAGAGTTAAAAAGCACGAAAATCCATTCATGACGGCCAGATCGTCAACACACGTGCGAACATATGAGCGTCCGTCGATGGCGGTCTCGATAATCGATACATCTCAACGACACTCTATTTCATCCACGAGAATGTTCTGGATATGAAAATTTCCGATTACGACAAAACCTCCTGCGCGGGTGTAAATCTGCCGGCGATTCTTTTCTATTTGTTCCCTCGCTCATCCTCTCCAAATACTCGATGGAGTGTTTAAGTTTTTTTTATACTTTTCTCATTTCGTGTCCGAAATACGAAAGCGATCCCTTTTCCCACACGGATTTACCCGCCGTCGGATTTTACTCGCGAGTAATCTTTCGCGAGTGAATACACTGTGAAGTTTCCTCTTTTACGATGCACGTGTTGTCCGTTTCCGCGGGACGCGCATATTTTCACTCGACAGTGCTCCGTTTCCAAACACACTAACGCGGGGGGAGACGTTTCTCCCGGGGGAATGCGCGACGAGAGCGCCGGCTCTCTTCCCGAGAGCCAACGTTTCAATCGTGAGACTTCAGGTCTGTTTATGTACTTATGAAAGTTTTATTCGATGCGAGGGGATGCTCCCTCCACTTTGATCGTTACACATATTCTTACAAGCGAGATTCTTACAAACACGCGCGCTGTTGATCGAGTCCACAAAGGATACCGGTGTGCTTCATCCATCCCGTCGGCGGGATAAGCCGAGAATCCGATAAAGTATCCATCCCTCCTCGAATTGAGGATTTCCCGAAGGAATTCGCGTTCTTCCGCTCTCCGCCCTTTGCATCCTATTATCGAGTGTTTATTCCTCAGGTGTCCGCGCGATTCCTTTGGTCGATTCTGAAAGAGGTTTCTGAAAGAGGATTCTCCTTCAGCGCACTAACACATCGTCGCGCGATTGTTTTCTGAGACATCATCTCTCTCTTTTACGCGCGCCTCCCGTAGTCTTTCCGTCCGAGGAATTCCATTATTTCACAAGGGAATTATACGAATGGCAAATTTGACTTGTAATATGAGAGATAGTGAGTTTGAGTTGAAATATAAACATGATACTCCGAGCAGTATGAGAGCTTTATAGGATATCGAAGATGGCATTGAACACAAAGAGAAGCGCACCGCAAAAAGTATACATTTCTTAAAAGGAAACTGTTGCAACTTCTCAAGAGAATTATTTACACAGTATATTATTTCCGAAGCTGTTTGTTGAGTAAGAATAAAAGTCAGTGGGAATAATAAACTTAATAAAGTTAAGTAAATGCAAAGTTACAGTATATTAAAGTTACGATATTTTCTGAATACATTGAAATAATAGTGAAAAATAATTGAAGAATAAAATTGTAATTGAAGATGTTCGAAAGTGCAGCTCTCGTTAGCGTCATTAAATTCTAATTGAATGATTACAAAAAAAACTATTAATTTTGTAAAGATTATTTATGAATTACCGTCACAATGAGTGCGAAGTATTAATTATCGCCGCCTCGAATCAGACAAACGTCTGCCACATCTTTCTTCTGTTTTCTCACACCGCCATCCTCCTTCCAGTCTTCCGCACTTAGAACTGCACACGCACAAAGCTTTACATATTCTATCAGAAGTCACGTCTCGTCTTGCAATTAGATTTCGCCATTTATACAATTCCCTTGGTGTTAATTCCATCGGTATTAATCCGTGTTTAAATCCGCGCGCGGAGTTCAATTAACTTAAATCATCACCGAGTATCCAATGTCACAGTAGACGAATGCAACTTTTGTAAGATCTTCTCAGTTCGACACTTTTATCGGTTTTCTTTTTTTTTTTTTTTATATAGACACTTCAAATTTCGTTGAATTTCCGCGAGTGTCACTCAAACGCGACTTTCCACGAAACTCAGCTTGTCATTCTGACGGCGGATACATGCTTGGGGAAGGGTATTGCGACACTTCGGGTGATCGTCCGTCAGCGCGGAATGACGCATATCATCTGCTAATCCGGCCGTGTCAGCCTCACGGTGTATGCAAGAGCGACGCGACAGCGTCTTATCGAGTTCTTCGGGGTGAGCAACGCTCGTAATCCCTGGCCCGTGATATTCCTCTCTCTTTCCGTCAGGATAAGTCGAGGATCAGATACGCGTCTCGTTCATCGCGGTCGATTTAGCGTCATCCCTCGTCTTCTCGTTCGACCGGCAGTTGGTCTTGTCGCTGCTCGAGTGCACGACAAACGAGGATCGCAGGATGTCCGAGGTAAGGACGTAGCAGGGCCTCGGCGTGTCGCAGCGGCTCGCCTCGTCGTCCTCGTCGTCGTGACGCAATTTCACCGGCGAGCGAAGCACCTCGTTCGCGTGCGACACGTTGCATCTGGGAGTGAACAATAGCGTTCGTTTCAGTTTCGCGGATTAATTAACGTTATAGAAAAAAAGAGAATTTGAATTAATTGGAAATTCAATTATAACGAGAGGTTGTTTTTTTTTTTCCAATGAAGCTGCTTACGGTAAACAACGGATTTGGATTTCTGCGCTAGACACACGAAATTTTTTGACGATTTATTCCGGGAATAAATCTACAGAGAACTCTCGAATGTTTCTTTCTTGGCGCGTGGAGTATCAGGATCAACTGTGATAAATTAAGCACGCATAATGCTTACCTAATGCTCCTTTGATAATGCACGCTTCTTACGCGAACCACCTGGGACTCCCGTCGGGATCCGTAACCGCAAACCGTGCTATCCCTCATACTGCTGAGGTCGTCCCGCGTGATGGTGGGACTCGACGAGGTGCAAGACAGCGTTTTCTTGAACGCCGTTCTGTACTTGGCGCTCATCACGTTGTACAGGATCGGGTTCACGGTGGTGCTGAAGTAGTACAGACAGCCGCCCAGCGGATACAGCCAGTCGTTAATATCGCTGAAGGCCGACACCTGATACACGTACAATAAGCGCTGAGCGTGAAAGGGCGCCCAGCAGATAAAGAATGTTATCACGACCGCACCTGTGGAATGAAGCCATCGATATCTTTCACGTAGCCGTTTCATTGTCGCTTCGACGGATAGAGTCGCTTCGAGAATGCACGGAGAGAAAGCGAGGAACATTACTGAAAGTGATATGAGAGCTGAAAAAAGAGAGAGAGAGAGAGAGAGAGAGAGAGAGAGAGAGAGAGAGAGAGAGAGACGCGCG